GGAGGAAAAGGAGGAAGAAGAGAAGGAGGAGGGAGAGGAAGAAGACGAGGAAACAAGTACAACACATTCAATAGAGAAGTTGAAGAATGTTGAACGTGATATTTTGAATCGGTCACTAAACTAAAACTCAGCAGATCAAACTTCCTTTTGGAATTTTAACAACATAAATGGATCTGCCTCCTCGTGTTTTCGTTCACATCGTCGTATAAACGCTTCAGCTGCAGGGACGAGGCCCGAGCTGAACTTCACCAGACACACAACAGAGACACACAGCACACACGAGACACGTGACAGCACACACACACGACACACACACACACAGACACACACACACACACACACACACACACGCACACACACACACACACACACACAGCACACACACACACACACACACACACACACTGTACTTCCCCATCATCACTCTGTCATAACATTACTTCACATTAGTGACGTCAGGATTATAAAATTTCAGTACCAAAGAACAAAGACTCGATACTCAAAAACGATTCTAATACCACAAAAAAAAACACTCTTTATGTAGAGAATAAAAACTCATGCAGCTCTACACCAGGCGGAGTTCTGCACGAGTCCATTTTTATAGACCCAGCCCTGCCTTAACCTGCAATTTTATCAACGTTAAACCCGCACCCGCCCGGACTAGGGATGAGCATTCGATGAAATTTTCTTAATCGATCGTCGGAAGAATTAACGATCGATTATCGATTAATCATTAACGTTTTTATATTAAAATGATCATCATTATTATTACTATCTGCACTAATCTGCATAAATAAATTCAACTTTACGACATATAAACATAACGACTCTAGATCCACATCAGCTGTTTGACATTATAATGTGTTTAATTCAGTTTTGTTCAAATCTCACAGAAACAAAACTTAAAACCACATCACTAATTTACATAAACTAAGTGAAGATAAAACTCCAGCTCTTGTGTCGCTGATGTGGTTCAACTTGTGTTGGATTAAAAGACATGACTCAGGTGAATACAGGTCAGTGTGACCAGATTTGTGTTTGTCAAAACCAGGACAGCGTACGGGGGGAGGGGGGCGGGGCCTCGTCATCCACATTGAGCGACTCTCACCTGGAAAAACTTTTTCCCACTGGACACAGAAACATATGTGCTGCTTTATCCACTGTGCACATGGACTCACACTTGTCCCAACGCAACGGAAAGTGTGGAATTTCTTCTACAAATCCTGGTTAAATCCACATTTGTGCTTCGGTTCGTTACAGACTGACCCACTGTTTGTGTCTCGCTCCTTCTGATGCAGAGACACATGTACACACCTGTTTGGTCACGACACACACACATACATTCAGTTTGTCCATTAAAATTAACGTAATCCATGAAATTCTTAATGATCAATTATCGATTAATCGACTAATCATGCCCATCCCTAACCCGGACCCGTTAACACTCCACCTGTTCCCTAAACCCGCTCTGGTTAAATAACGGTCCACATCTGTACACATCTGCAGCAGTATTAGTATTTGTGCCTGTATCAGCTGTAAAATGACGTTGCCTGATATCCAGTGTCAGGAGTAACAGATTACATGTACCGGAGTAATCAGAGTACAAATGATGAGTAACTGTATTCAGTTACAGTTACTGTTTCAGTGAGTGGTAATTGGATTACAGTTACTTTGTTGGAATAAATGGATTAAACAGAGGGATTTTACTGTTTTCACATTTTGGGTTAAACCAGGACTAAACCAGGACTAAACCAGGTCTAAACCAGGACTAAAACCAGGTTAAACCACCAGGACTAAACCAGGTCTAAACCAGGACTAAACCAGGACTAAACCAGGACTAAACCAGGACTAAACCAGGACTAAACCAGGACTAAAACCAGGTAAAACCAGGACTAAACCCAGGACTAAACCAGGACTAAACCAGGACTAAACCAGGACTAAACCAAAGACTAAACCAGGACTAAACCAGGACTAAACCAGGACTAAACCAGGTCTAAACCAAGGACTAAACCAGGACTAAACCAGGTCTAAACCAGGACTAAACCAGGACTAAACCAGGACTAAACCAGGACTAAACCAGGTCTAAACCAGGACTAAACCAGACTAAACCAGGACTAAACCAGGACTAAACCCTAAGGACTAAACCAGGACTAAACCAGGACTAAACCAGACTAAACCAGGACTAAACCAGGACTAAACCAGGACTAAACCAGACTAAACCAGGACTAAACCAGGACTAAACCAGGACTAAACCAAGACTAAACCAGACTAAACCAGACTAAACCAGGACTAAAGGACTAAACCAGACTAAACCAGGACTAAACCAGGACTAAACCAGGACTAAACCAGGACTAAACCAGGACTAAACCAGGTCTTAAACCAGGACTAAATCAGGTCTAAATCAAGACTAAACCAGGACTAAACCAGGATAAACTCAAACTAATCCAGATCTAACCAAAGAAAACCAAAGAAAGAACTAAACAATGAAACAGGAAGACAAAAGATCAAACGCTGCCCAATGACGTTTAACAAAGACAAAAATAACTTCAGGCCGATTGTAACTAAGCAGTGACACATAGAGGAAGTGTTGAGACTAAACGAGAACTGAACCAGGACTAAGGATTAACAGGGAAATCCAGGAATAAACAAGGACTAAACTAGGATTAGGTCAAAACAGAAGTGCTACTGTCAGACCACAAACACACGAGGATTTAACAAAAGAAAATATGATTAAACTGCAACTATAACAACTAAACTAAACCAGGACTAAACCAGGACTAAACCAGGACTAAACCAGGACTAAACCAGGACTAAACCAGGTCTAAACCAGGACTAAACCAGGACTAAACCAGGTCTAAACCTGGACTACTAAACCAGGACTAAACCAGACTAAACCAGGACTAAACCAGGACTAAACCAGGTCTAAACCAGGGACTAAACCAGGTCTAAACTAAACCAGGACTAAAAGGACTAAAGGACTAAACAAGCAGACTAAACCAGGACTAAACCAGGTAACTAAACCAGGAGAAAACACAAACTGGACTAAACCAGGACTAAACCAGGAAAACTAAACCAGGACTAAACAGGACTAAACCAGGACTAAACCAGGACTAAACCAGGACTAAACCAGACTAAACCAACCAGGACTAAACCAGGACTAAACCAGACTAAACCAGGACTAAACCAGGACTAAACCAGGTCTAAACCAGGACTGAACCAGGACTAACAGGACTAACCAGGACTAACCAGGACTAAACCCAGGACTAAACCAGGACTAAACCAGGATAAACCAGGACTAACCAGGACTAAACCAGGACTAAACCAGGACTAAACCAGGACTAAACCAGGACTGAACCAGGACTAAACCAGGACTAAACCAGGGACTGAACCAGGACTAACCAGACTAAACCAGGACTCAACCAGGACTGAAACCTAAACCAGGACTGAACCAGGACTAACCAGGACTAAACCAGGACTAAACCAGGGACTAACTAACCAGGACTGAACCAGGACTCAACCAGGATAACCAGGAAAAAAAACCAGGACTCAACCAGGACTGAACCAGACTCAACCAGGACTCAACCAGGACTGACAGGACTCAACCAGGACTAACCAGGACTCAGGACTGAACCAGGACTCAACCAGGACTCAACCAGGACTCAACCAGGACTGAACCAGGACAACCAGACTGAACCAGGACTCAACCAGGACTGAACCAGGACTGAACCAGGACTCAAGCAGGACTCAACCAGGACTCAAACAGCAGGACTCAACCAGGACTGAACCAGGACTCAACCAGGATGAACCAGGACTCAAGCAGGACTCAACCAGGACTCAACAGGACTCAACCAGGACTCAACCAGGACTCAGGACTAAACCAGGACTGAACCAGGAACCAGGACTGAACCAGGACTCAACCAGGACTCAAGCAGGACTCAACCAGGGCTCAACCAGGACTCAACCAGGACTCAACCAGGACTCAACCAGGACTAACCCAGGACTAAACCAGGACTAAACCAGGACTAAACTAGGACTAAACAAGGACTAAACCAGGTCTAAACCACGACTAAACCAGGACTAAAGAAGCTCTAAACCAGGACTAAACCAGGACTAAACAAGAACTAAACCAGGACTAAACTAGGACTAAACAAGCACCAAAACAGGATTAAAAAGGAAAACCGTCACCCAATGACATTTAACAAAGATAAATAACGAAGCAATGACTAAACCAGGACTAAACAAACTCTAAACCAGGACTAAACCAGTACTAAACCAGGTCTAAACCACCAAGAGTAGATCAGATTTAATTCTAGGCCATTATCACTCAAAGAAAAATAAACTACTGTAACTAAGTAAAGACAGACAGAGGAAACTACTGGGGCTGAACCAAGACTCAACCAGGACTAAACAAGCACTAAACCAGCACAAAATCAGGACTAAACAAGCACTAAAGCAGGACTAAACAAGCACTAAAGCAGGACTAAACCAGGTTTAAACCAGCACAAAATCAGGACTAAACCAGGACTAAACCAGGTCTAAACCAGGACTAAACCAGGACTAACCCAGGTCTAAACCAGGTCTAAACCATAACTAACCCAGGACTAAACCAGGACTAAACAAGCACTAAACCAAGACTCAACCAGGAGTAAACAAGCACTAAAGCAGGACTCAACCAGGACTAAACAAGACTCAACCAGGACTAAAACTCAACCAGGACTAACCCAGGTCTAAACCAGCACAAAATCAGGACTAAACAAGCACTAAACCAGGACTCAACCAGGACTAAACAAGCACTAAAGACTCAACCAGGACTAAACAAGCACTAAAGCAGGACTAAACCAGGTCTAAACCAGCACAAAATCAGGACTAAACAAGCACTAAACCAGGACTCAACCAGGACTAAAACTCAACCAGGACTGACCCAGGACCTAAACCCTCCAGCCTGTGTGTCCGGGTCCATGTGCGGTGCTTCGCGGTGTTTCATTTGTTCCGTGACTCACTTGTCCAGGACGAAGTAAAGGTCGTAGGCTCCGTGACAGGACGCGTCCTCGGCGGCGCAGCTCGCGGCCAACAGTCCGAGGAAGAGCGCACCGAGAGCGGCCACAGCCCACCGCGCGTCCCGGCCGCACGTCCCCGTCCCCGCGGCGCGTCTCCGGCTCCACTCCTTCCCCATTTCACCCGCAAATCCGCAACCAAATCCGGGATAAAACCTCACACGAAACCGCAGAAACAACAACAAAAAAACCAAACAAAAACCCTCAAACGTGACTTTATTGTTGTCGTTTTGGAGCGTGGGGATGCGCGACGTGTGTATCCCGTTATAAAAAATCAAACTAATGCAAAATTGAGAAACTTTTTGTTCGTTAAAAAGTTGCAACGGCGGAAATCACAGGTTTACGTAAGGAAGTGTGCAACGATCGAAGTCGGTTTGAGTCACCCCCACATCCTCAGTAAACGCGCACAGATGTGACACAATGCGCATCTGCCGCAAAAAAAAAAAAAAAAAACAACAATGCGAAGAAGTTTGCACGGACCGAGAAGAAAAGTTACGAGGGGCGTTCAACGAAGCTCGGAATTCAAAGCACCCCGCGCGAAACGGAATTATCACAGGGTTAGAATAAATAAACAATATTATAACGCTTAAATAGGAGATTATAAACTTGTATTCAGGAGAAATTTAGAGAGAAATTATATTATAGCGACGTCGATTTTTTTTTTTTATTAGTGATAAGTTTAAAGTGCGTAAAAGTGCAGTGGTCCTTGAACCCATACTGACAAAAGCAGGAAGAATAGCAGAAAACAAAAGAAAATAAACATGGGAAAGCTGGAGTTTGATAAAAAAAAAAAAAATGTTATTCTTGAAAATATCTTGACTCATAAACAGCAGAAGGCCCCGGACTGTGCGTTATTCGGTCTCACGGTAACAAAACATCAGACTCGCTTTGTTTCCAAACACTGGATCGTTCAAATAGGAGGATTTATAATTTATGACTTTGTATTTGACAAAACATCAACACTAAAAGGTCATGATTTTACTATTGTTGTAGCACTAATCGAGACCAAGACCAGAGACTAGGACAAGACTAAAACCTCTGAGGGTCAAAATCGAGACAAGACCGAGATTTTTAATGGCCGAGACCGAGACTGTGGCCCAACGAGAAAAAATCGAGGCCATCTTTGTCATTTTCAACATTTAGATTTTGACTCAGATAAATTTTATTGAACCACAAGGGAAATTATTTGGACACGTAGTGGACGATAATGTGGCCCCAAGAGACAAAAGTTTGGTGACCCCTGGTTTTGATGATTAAAATGTTTGTGTTTCTTATTGATTTTGCACAAGAAGAAGTGGTTCTCGACCGGAAAAAGGTGTCTTGTCCTCTCCGGGTGGGTGGAGAGTCTTTGCCTCAAGTGGAGGAGTTCAAGTATCTCGGGGTCTTGTTCACGAGTGAGGGGAGGACGGAGCGTGAGATTGACAGGTGGATCGGTGCAGCGTCTGCAGTGATGCGGTCGCTGTATCTGATCGTTGTGGTGAAGAGGAGCTGAGCCGAAAGGCGAAGCTCTCGATTTACCGGTCAGTCTTCGTTCCTCCTCTCACCTCTGGTCATGACTCTGGGTAGTGACCGAAAGGAACGAGATCGTGGATACATGCGCTCGAAATGAGTTTCCTCCGCAGGGTGTCTGGGCGTCTCCCTTAGAGACAGGGTGAGGAGCTCAGTCACACGGGAGGAGCTCGGAGTAGAGCCGCTGCTCCTCCACGTCGAGAGGAGCCAGTTGAGGCTCGGGCATCTGTTCCGGATGCCTCCTGGACGTCTCCCTCGGGAGGTGTTCTGGGCATGTCCCACCGGGAGGAGGCCCCGGGGAAGACCCAGGACACGCTGGAGGGACTATGTCTCTGGACTGGCCTGGGAACACCTCAGGAGGAGCTGGAGGACGTGTCTGGGGTGAAGGAAGTCTGGGAGTCCCTGCTTAGACTGATGCCCCCGCGACCCGGCCCCGGATAAGCGGACGAAAATGGATGGATGGATGGAGAAGTGGTTTAACAAAGACTTTTAGTGTCACAGCCAATCGGTTTGAAATATATCGTACTGAATTGAAAGTGCACTGATTGGAGCTGGAATCAAACCTTCAACCTCCTCCGTTACACCTGCGCTGTAAACACCTGTGCTCAAACACACTCACACAGAATCCACAGGTATTGTCTGAGCAGATTCCTTAAACCCTTAAATCTGTTCTCTCCTCCACAGAAATCCCTCTGGACTCGTCTCCGCCGCGGCACAATCAGAAGAAACACTCGGATTTGTCCAAAAGCACAAGGAGAAGCTCGGTGTTGGAGTATTGCGAAAAAGCTTCCCCCGCGGTCATGTTTTCAGCACGAGGACTCGCAGGGAAAGCCCGCGCTGGCTCGTGTGTGTGTGTGTGTGTGTGGAGAAGGTGTGTTTGTGTTTGTTGAAGGTGTGTGTGGAGCTGGCAGGATGTGAGTGAACGTGGAGAGGAGGAGGAAGAGGAGGAAGAGGAGGATCACCCGGAGCAGCGTCAGTCGGAGCAGGTCTGAGCAGGTTCACGATGAGAAATATGAGCCGTTGGTCAATCCTGGAAAACTCACTGCCAAGTAAAAGGATAATATCTTAAAAATGTGTAAGAAATGGAGAGTAAAACATCACATACAGTCTTAATTATTCAAAAGTACACAAGTATTTAAACTCCAAACTCTTGCACTGCTTTATTGATTTCTCTCATTAGGACCTGATGAGGCATAAACAAAGACTTATATTTTTATAATTTTATATTTATGTGTCCATAATGTGACATACAAAACATACATTTTATGTTTTAATCATTTTGATGGAGCACAATAACGTCACAATTTGTGGGGAAGCTGGCCAAAGTGGTCGAAGTAGGAGGCAGATGACACAAAAAAAAAGGTGTCTCACGCAGACAAAATTTATTTTAAAAAACAGACTTCTGGGTTTAACCAACAAAAATACAAATAGACAAAAAAGTAACTCAAAGCAAAACACCAAATATCTGCACAGAAGTCTCCCCCTAATTAGTGACACCTGCTTGCCTTTTATACTCCGCCCAGCAGGAAGTACCTCCCCCAGGTGAGTAACAATTCCAGGTAAAGCAAAGCAAAAGGTGTCTTTCCAAAATCAAAATGGTTAACATAAATTAAGGTGAGTTTAAAATAAGACAAAGGCCCACTTTGTCACACAATTGAATAATGATTTGCAAAATCTATTTATTATTTGCCTGAACAATCCAAAATGTGTGGACATGTCTGTGCACATGTGGACACGTCTTGGGGTTGGTTCTCTTGGAGGAGCTGGAGGAAGTGTCTGGGGTGAGGGAAGTCTGGGAGTCCCTGCTTTCGACTGATGCCCCAGTGACCCGGCCCCAGATGAGCGAAAGAAAATGGATGCATGAAAAAAGAAAAAAAACAAAACACTGATTTACAGAAAACATGATTTTTGACGTCAGATGAAGAGAAAGTCAGAGCTTTTCACTGGGTCTAAAAAGAGTAAAAAAGAACAGAACAGATCAAACCAGATCCAGAACGAGGGTCAAAACTGATTAAACTTAAAGAAAGGTTCTGAACCTTAGACTGGAAAATGTAAAAACTGGTAAAAAAATAACAGAAAAACATAAAGTTAAAATAAACTAAACCAGAACTCTAATTAAAAAATAAAAAAATAACTATTTATATTAACAAAATAAACTTAAGCAGTCTTCTAAACACATGAGTTTAATTTTGACACCAAATGTCACGTCAAAATTCAAAACTGAAAAAGCAGGACAATAAACCAAAAATTAACCATGTGGCTTTAAACCTGGGTTATAAACCCTGGTTTATGGTCACTAGGTAACTGCAAAGAGGACTAAGGACTAAACCAGGACTGACTAAAACCAAAACCAGGAACAGGTCTAAACCAGGACTACCAGGACTAAACCAGGAGGTCTAAACCAGGAGGTCTAAACCAGGACTACTAAACCAGGACTAAACCAGGACTAAACCAGGACTAAAACCAGGACTAAACCAACTAAACCAGGTAAACCAGGACTAAACCACTAAACCAGGGACTAAACCAGGTCTAAACCAGGTCTAAACCAGGACTAAACCAGGACTAAACCAGGACTAAACCAGGACTAAACCAGGACTAAACCAGGACTAAACCAGGTCTAAACCAGGACTAAACCAGGACTAAACCAGGACTAAACCAGGTCTAAACCAGGTCTAAACCAGGACTAAACCAGGAGGTCTAAACCAGGACTAAACCAGGACTAAAAACTAAACCAGGTCTAAACCAGGACTAAACCAGGTCTAAACCAGGACTAAACCAGGACTAAACCAGGTCTAAACCAGGACTAAACCAGGACTAAACCAGGACTAAACCAGGACTAAACCAGGTCTAAACCTCTAAACCAGGTCTAAACCAGGACTAAACCAGGTCTAAACCAGGTCTAAACCAGGACTAAACCAGGACTAAAAACCAGGACTAAACCAGGACTAAACCAGGACTAAACCAGACTAAACCAGGACTAAACCAGGACTAAACCAGGAGGTCTAAACCAGGTCTAAACCAGGACTAAATGGGGACTAAACCAGGACTAAACCAGGTCTAAACCAGGACTAAACCAGGTCCACTCCTTCCCCATTTCACCCGCAAATCCGCAACCAAATCCGGGATAAAACCGCATGAAGAGACACCAGCGCGTTTGGACCAGTGAGATGATCTTCATCAGGGCAAAGTGGAAAAACAAACCCACCAGTGTCATTAAACACAATCAATGAATCACATGACAACAGGAAAAAGACACGAGCAAAACCCAAATCAAAAAAAAGATTGGCCAACCACGAGGAAAATAAAAGTGATGAACAGAACCACCAAAAAACAACAAGAAGAACAGAACATGTTGGAGGAAAGTCTCGAGTCCATCACAAATGAAACTTGGGATTAATTAATTACAGTCATATTTAGCTCGTTATGTTTTTTAATCGCATTAATCTGTTTTTTAATCTCTAACTTTACTGTTTCTGTGAGCGAGTTGCCTTATTATAAAATCTGTTTTTATGTGTTGTTGGGACAATAACACATCACTCCCACAAAGAATTGTAATTTTCGTTCCCGTTGTCGCCGCGTCTGTGATAAAACCTGCACATGTCTGATCTCTGAAAACATCACGACACAAACAGAACAGACTCACCATCAGCAGAACATCCCTCTGTCACAGAAAGAACATCTGTATCCTTTAGTCCGACAAAAGTTGAACCACATCAGCGACACAAGAATGTTTTTTTTTTTCACTTAGTTTATGCAAATTATCCATGTGGTTTTAAGTTTTGTTTCTGTGAGATTTGAACAAAACTGAATTAAACACATTATAATGTCAAACAGCTGATGTGGCTCTAGAGTCGTTATGTTTATATGTCGTAAAGTTGAATTTATTTATGCAGATTAGTAACAGTAATAATAATGATGATACTGTGGAA